TTATAATAATAAAAGATAGCATTTGAAGAGAGGGCAAATTAATTCCCACTCAACGGGAAACTCTATGCAATTAAAAAAAAAATTTTTTTATCCCAGTAGACCTGATAGCATTCTAAAACAACCACAACTTCCTAGGAACAACAGTTCAGTGCAAGCTGCCATTTTGTTATAGGCATGCTAAAACACTGACATGCTCACAAGATATTTCCCTGTCTAAGGCCAGGTGACCATTCTAAATAGAGATGATGTGAGGAAAATTCATGTTCAGTGCCTTTCCTGAGGCTCAAACTCTCAAACCTGCAACCTCACAATCACGAGTCCGGTAGCGTAACCACTAAACAACCGACACCACATAGACCACCGACGCCACAGTCATGAAGTCAGGACTATAAAGAACCATGCTCCTATAAGCTTACTTAGCCTTGACCCCATTTGACTTCACCAACCTTTCCTAAGCTGATAAGATCACTACATGACATAGGCTACCGAGTCAGTAGTCCAGCCTGATCAGAGTAATGGCTACTCCACATGTCCAGTCTCGATTTTCAGAAAATTAAATCTAGTATTTTTAAAATAAATACCATCGCCGTCATCCATGCTATTCACCCATTAGTGTAAGCAATGAAATAAAAGCTCAGTTGTAACTTCTCTAAAACTCGCAGTTTGAGCTATACTTCAGTTTTTTCTGTACTTTACTCTTGACACATTTTCAGATCAAAGTAATTCTGTTGTTCAGCTGTATCATACAGGCCTATAATATATTAAATTTTGTTATTCATTTTCAAGTTTGAAAAAAACAACTTCCTATAATATATTGAATTTTGTTATCCATTTTTAAGTTTTAAAAAAACCTTCAAAGATGAGAGATTATAATGTCTTACCCTTTAGATTATGTTACAAATCATTAATTCCCCAAACAGTGGTGTATGGTATAAAAACCTTGAAAGTAGAGTAACTTATCTTTCTACACTCTGAAATAAAAGATATCTGAATTACTTCCTTGTTTGCCCAATATAATAATTTTTAATTCTGTCAACATTAATTTTTTTGTTTTAAGTAATTAAATTTTTGAAAAGTAAAGATGGGGAGGAAGGGGATCATAAATAAAGAACTGGCCCTGGTCATACTGAGTGCACTTCATTCAGGCCACAATGAAAAAACGAATATATTATATATATATAATCATGCTCTAAAATATCTGTCTCTAAGCAGGCAAATACATCTAGTTCCCGGGTTCATAATGTAGGTTTAAGTCATGTTTCTTTCTTGATCTTTATGTCTTGGAAATATTGCACTCCTATGGGGCAGTAGCCCTAGTAATAAATTTATCCTGTAAGATGTTAAACCGACGATAACATTTTTGCTAAATTAGAAGTGTAGGCCTCCTTTGTTGATATTGATATTAAACAACAATAACATTTTCTGCAAGGGCCACTTAAAATTGAAACAAAAATCAAGATAATCTGGCATACACAATCTTAAAACTGAGATATATCTCTGCACTCCTTTATTTTTACAACTAAGCCTAAAATTTAAAAATTTTAAAAACATGCAGCAGAGGTTGGTTCTCTTGTAACAAAAAACACTAGCCTACATTATTGCATAGAAGATCCTATTCCTAATCAAATTTAGCAGCCACTAAAACAGCCTACGTGGACAGCCAGTTCAAAGAACAGTTTTAATTATCTTAAAAGTCTTCACTAACATGATTATTAATAGCCTCATAAATTTTACTAAAGTTTAGCCTCAGCAAACAGGATCTCCTGCAGTAAAATGACAAGGAATCTGACCTGAAAATTTGGTCAACTCATAGATCATCTAGATCTAGATCTATATTCGCCCTGTATGAGGTAAGTATTACAGACTGTCATTTACAATACACAGGTCTTGATCTAGATTCTAGATCTAGATTCTACATATCTGGGTCTAGAATCTAGATCTAGATTCTTAATCTATATCTAGATCTAGATTCTTATTCTAGAAAGGTACTTGTAATTTTTGCAGGGTCAGTGTGATGGGTAGAATTTACACACCGTGGCTCCAGGAGGAGAAACTCTAGAGATTCTGGTCTAGATTAGTTTATTATGTCTATAGACCTGACTCTGATCGCTCAGGACTTTCAGAGCACGGTCTAGGATAGAAATACATTGACAAACTGAATCTAAGAATGCGATAGAAGAAAAAGGAGTTTGCACAGGCTCGAATCTAACCCAACCGAGTCTGCAGAAATACTATAATTTGGCCTCGAGTCCACAACAACGCACAAGGCAAGGCAGGACTTGGCGACTGCTGCAAAACTACATGACTGCATGGCCTGACATGCTACGTCGCGACACTTGTAACACTTTCAATCAGATGCAATCAAATATATATGCAAAAGAGGAACAGTCAAACTGATTCACCATCGCAAACAAGTGCATATTGTACAACATACCGTTGAAGATGCTCACGTCCGCGTGTAAAAATAAGTCGCATACCACCATACAAGTAGGGTTACGCCATTAGAAAAATTTCTTGGATACAGGATTACGTCCCCTGGTCCAGAGGTTATGGGGACAATCTTCCAAACAACCAATGGGAATTACGTTTATGTCGCGTGTAGGTAGATCACAACACAACAGGAACTGTGCCTGGGCGCTGCGCATTCCTGGCTGTTGAGGTGGGTTGGTGGGGGTGGGACCAGATCCGATGACAGAGTGCAACTGAACCCGTTGTAGTTGTACTGGGTCGAGCGCCAAGTGCCAACTCCTGTCAAGTTCATGTTTGATATCGTGATTCAGTTCCGACTTTCTTTTCTTCTGTTTTTCTTCCTACGTCCTTTTTTTTGCCGAGGCATGTTCCTGACCGACTTTATTAATATGTACATAATGTTAGTAAAAAAAGGATAAGAAAGAGAGAGCGAATAGAGAGACAGACAGAGAGAGAGAGAGAGAGAGGGAGAGAGAGAGAGAGAGAGAGAGAGAGAGAGAGGGAGAGAGGGCGTGAAAGAATCAATTATCTAACTGGAACTTAAATTAAAGTAGAGCATATTCAAGCGGAAATGTGCTTAACTACATGTATTATTATAACTCTCT